GTACGTACCTACCTACCTGGATTGGTCAGATCTTTCTCATGGGAGTCAGTAATAAATACGGGTACTTTTCCCCACCTTACTTCTCTCCCTGGCACTGGGGATTGAACCCAGGGCCTCCACACTGAGCTGCATCCCCAGTCCCTTCTTTTAAAAGTTATTAAGACAGTATCTCACTGTCACTAAATTCCCCAGGTTGGGTTTGATTCTCCTGCCTCAGCCTCCCAGAGTGCTGGGCGTGCAGGCATGCCCCACTGTCCCTGGCTTTCCAAAGCCTTTTTTTCCCTGTCCTTTTGAAGGCACGTTACCCTGTTAGATTAAGATGTTCTTTCAACTTTCCGTTGTACGATGCTAAAGTCAGCGTAAGGAGGAGTGAATGCCAGCTGCTCCGGTAGTTCCCGAAGCGGCTCAGCACAGTGACACTGTGTCCGGCTGCGCGGCGCCGGGCGGCCGGGCGGTCCTCTCCTGGCTGTGCTGTCGGAACGCACGGCCTCTGTTCCTCACCCTTGCGGTCTGAGCGCCTCGGCGGAGGGCTTCGTTGTACTAAGACCTTGGCGTCCTCATTGTGCTCCGCCTCTTGCAGGTTCACGAGAAGGACGTGATTGGCATTGCACATCATCCTCATCAGAACCTCATTGCTACCTACAGTGAAGATGGACTCCTAAAGCTCTGGAAACCCTAATTCAGCTTTTCTTCAAAGAAAAGAAAGCTGAAAGCATGTACTTCAATGAAGACACATTCATATGTGTTGTTTTTCTTTTAGGGTAGCTTTTTTAAGCTGAGAAATTCTCTGATTAGCCACAGGAATAATTTTGTGAAGCAGTTACCTTTGTAAAGTGCATTTTTAATGTATTAGTTCGTCTTTCCTTGCCTTTGCCGGTGCCAGGAATAGGGCCCTGGGCCTTGCACGCTAGGCAAGGGCTCACTGAGCAGAAGCCCCGGCCCAAAGTCCGTGTGCTTCTGACAGGACCAGTCACTCAGATGTTTTCAGAGCGACGTACTGGTGTTAGTAAAAACTCCTGTAATTTGTAATGGTTCAAATGTGCCTGTCATCATAAAACTTGTAAATAAATCAATGTATTGAGTAGCTGTGTCCCTGTTTTCTTCCTCCCCCCGTTTTTCAAGATGTTAATAAACTTTACACCTTCCTGGACATGGTATGTTAAGTGCTCATCTGGAGAGAAATGATCATCCGTGACCCTCAAGCCCAGCAGCAAGTCATTTCCTGGGCTGGGACCGGCCGGTGTGAGAGCAGCAAGTCGCGTGGCGCGCAGGGGTCTCGTGTCGCTGCCCTCGGCTGCTCGTCGAGGGCTGCCCCTTCTCACGTGATCAGGCCAGCTCCAGGGAGTAGTGTCTTCTCCCGTGGCTGAGACTAAATACCCCACACCCAAAGTTAAAGGGGAAGGGTTTATTTAGCTCAGTTGGTAGAGGTTTCAGTCCATAATGGGTTGTCTCCAAGGCAGAGTGGCACATGGCAGAAGGGCAACTGTTTGTTCACGGTGGCGAAGATAGCAAAAGTAGTGAGACAGACGGACACAGAGAGACAAACCTTTCCGTGCCTCGTATGCAGGCTGCCCGCCCTCGGGTGGGCGTAGCTCACACCCTTAATCCCAGGTTGGACCACGAGTCCTTCGCAACTCGAGATTCAACTGTCCCCGAAAGGCTGTTCCTGTGAGTGCGTGGGCCTTTCAGGGGGACCTCCACACACAAACCGTGAGTCTCCATCCTCTAGATGGAGCTAGTTGTGTGTCAGCTCTAAGAATTCAGTTTCAGCATCACGTGGAGGTGTGTCTGGCATTGAGAAAGTGCTGCTGTTCTGGAGCAAAACTAAGAGGACCTGAGATTCTCAGAAAAGTCTCTCACAGTGTGCATGTGTGCCAGTTAGCTAAAGAGACTTTCTCAAAGTTGCTGGCACACGTCTGTGATCCAGCTACACCCAGGCCCCCTTGACCGCTGTCGAAGTGCGCTTTCACCAAGCTGTATTCCCAGCCTTCATGTCTCAAAAATACTTTGCACATGGATGGTCCACTTCGCACTGAGCGCGTACAGAAACTCATGGTGTGTGAGGGTACTGTGCTACAGACTCTCAAGGAAGTGAGATTGTTTCTCTAGGCATCTATGTTCACTGTTAGCACAAAGTACAAACTTGTGGGGAAGGAGTAAAAAATTCTGCATTCTGCTTCACCTTTGATTTAAAATGTAGGCTGATTCCATGCCTGTGTAGAGCTCCGCGCACCACTGGCTGAGTTTATTCTAGCACCAAGAAATCCCTTTCCAGTGAACTACTTCTGGCAGTGCTAGGAATTGAAACCACAACTGCGAGCATGTTAGGCAAGCGCTCTACCAAAGAACTACACCTTGAGCCCTTCAGTCATAGTTGTGTCTTTTGAGACAGGGTGTCACCATGCAGTTCAGGCTGGCCTTGAGCTCACTTTGTAGCCCAGGCTGGTCTTGAACTCGTAAGGATCCTCCTGCCTCAGCCTCCCAAGTGCTTATAGGCGTGCGCCACCACGCCCCGCTAGGACGTTTTTAAGGAAAGGAAACACTTATCACCATGCAGACTTTTGGGGGTGGGGGTTGTAAAGGCCCAAGGTTGAACCATTTGTTGAGCAGCTGTGGTGGACGGATCTAGGTCCCTCGGGAGGTAGCCTCTTCCCCAAGCAACTGGGGCAGGGTAAGCCGCACCGGTCAGAGCCTAGTCAGCCAATCGGGTAGCACCCCTGGGCCCTTTTCCTCCAGAGATCCTGTTACGAGTTAGTGGTACAGGCTGATGATGCTGTCCACCCAAACTGAATTTGCACTACCTTGTAAGATGCACTGAGGTTTCTGGGAGGTCTGCTGCCCCCCAGATATAACTGATGACCCTTCCGCAGCACGTAAAACCTAAAATGTGGGGCATTAGTTCATTTCACCCTCCAGTCAGTTGTTAAACGACTAGCAAGTATTGCATCTTCTGACAAAGCCACTTCAAGGCGTCCTGTTTTTTTGAGACAAGGCCTCATGTAGTTTAGGCTGTTCTTGAACTATGCAGCCCAAGGCGGCCTTGAACTTATAGCAATCCTGTTACAGCTGGTACAGGGATGCTCCCCAAAGTGGTGTCTTTTCTTAAAACAGCAGGTCATCAATCTCAGGCACAGTACTTTCTTCAGCCATCTTTCAATTCGTGTAGGGACTAGTTCTAACGTCCAGTAAGCCCTTCTTACGATACTAGCAGCCTTACTTCTCAGAACCACCTACTTAAGACCCATTACCAGGTAATGTCTCCAGACCTCAGGCACTTCCAGCCATTTACACGGCGCTCACCCTGACGACCAGGTGGTCTCTACCACCCACCTCTTCTGAGTCTTGCTCGCATCTCCCCCGAGCTGGGGCAAAGAATCCATGGGCTGTTTCCACATCGTTAAAATACTCACCCAAGCAGGCCACAGGAGGGACATGAGCAGAAAGCACTGCATTACCACTCTAGATCCTCGAGTCTTTGCTGATGGATTTTCTCAGGGTACCTCAGGGGTCCGCAAGGCTCCTAGGCTCTGCCCCACACCCACATTACCAAAAACTGGCGGCGAGGCCAAGGAAGGATGTGCGCTCCGGTCTGGCCTGGAGAGCGGCCCCCTCACGGGTACAGCAGCAGTTCCGAGGTTTAAAGGCTGCCGAGATAACCAGCTTTGGAAAGGTACAGGACACTTTGTGCTGCGGCTTGAGAGCACTTTCACTCTCTGTGCTTTCAGAATTCCATTTCCCAGTATTTTGTAAGACAAGCTGCTATCGAGCACGGTATATATTTAAGTTGGGTGGCAAGCTTCGCCGGCCTGAGTTCAAACCTTGCGAAAGCAAGAGCTGCCAGTACCTGGCCTGCTCCAACAGTGGCAGCACTGCCGAGGACCAGAACAGCTTCGCCCCCGCTCTGGTGGTTCCTCCCCCTCAGCTGCACAGAATCACCTTGTTGCTTAGGCTGTGCAATCTATTCACACCCAGATTCCTAGAGGGTGAGGTTTTCGTCTCCTTTGTAACACCAATGTTCTCTAACTGAAACCTCCAGGCTGGCAGTGTTTTAAGCTTCCCGATTACAGCAGATTCAGCAGCACCATGACAGACTACACATCCTACTAGTTAGCAGGCCCGTTTTGTGGACTCAGGCCCAGGTCTCCACTTCCGCTCCCAACTCATGTTTAGTATTAAATAATTACAGCTTAATTGTATTTCGGGGGGCGGGGAGACCGGGAATCGAACTTAGGACCTCGTGCTTGCCAGGCAGGCGCTATGCCACTGAGTTATATCCTTGGCTAGGGGTGTGTGTATGTATTTGACCCAAAGTTTTGCCATGTAGTTCAGACTAACCTTGAACTCACTATTTAGTCCAAGATGGCCTTGAACTCTCAGGGTGATCCTCCTGCCTCAGCCTTCTCAGTGGTGGGATTACAGGTATGTGCCACTGACACCCAGCAGTTTAGCAGTGATGTTAAGTGTGAGACAAAAAATTATTAAAAATAAATGCTTTGATAATCTCAGAAAAAAGTCTGTAGCAACACATTAGAAGTGCTTTGTAATCAGTATATTAAGGAGACATTCATACATTTCAACAACTGCTTAAACTCTGATACCCAGATTTTAAGCATGTGAACATGACTTTTTTAGACATACAAGTAAAGCTATTCGTAATTTGCTATACTATCACCATTTAATTACAGTTACTTTGGAGCATTACGTCAAATGGGTTAAAGTAAGCCTAGAACATACATAAGGAGCGCTCTCGTACATTACACATGCAAATTTCCTTTCCGAGTGGTCTCTTCACGCTAACTTCAAAGCTGCCCAGCTCTGAAGTCGCAGCAGGGGCTTATCACGGTCCAAAGAGAAGGGAAAACCACGTAACTGGACTGGGCAACACAGTTCGATATATATATATATTTGAAAAGATGGCACAGCAGAAGGGGCTGCCGTCCTAGAAATGCAGGCCCTTAGGAAGCAGCACTGTTGCGATAAACCCCTTCTTTAGAGAGGTATCATCTCTACCACTGGTATCACAGGCTGCATTTTGTGCCACCTTCAAGTAAGAGCTGAGGCAGGAGAACGCAGAGGCATCACAAGGAGTCCCACTTAGCACAGACAGACACACCGGCACTTCCACGAACCGTTTCCTTTTCTCATTGCCAGTTAAATACAATTTTAATCCACAGTTGAACAATGAAGGGTCACACTCTAAAGTCAACACATATACCTAGCATTTCAGTCTAAGCTTGTCCACGTATACAACTGGAATCAAGTACAAGGCATGGCCTACCAGACGCCAGGGTTAGGTACTCTTTACAGGCATGGAACTTCGTCTTGCACACTGAAGTCATACATACAGGGCAAAGTCGGGGCTTTTGTATTTGCATTTATTCTTCATTTAACTTTGACAACACTACTATAATTGAATATTGAAACAAAAACAATAGCAAGTAGTGAGCGTGTGATGATTACAGTCCTTCGTGCATCCACTCCTGCACACCCAGTGCCAGCAGTGAGCGCTATCCACCGGCCCCATTAGGAGGTCTGGCACTGAACACCACCTCTGGGGTGATGCTCGTCATCCTCGTAGGCTTCTCCATTATAATGGCGCCGTCTTTCTTGATTTGGATCAAAGTCCACCAGTTCTACCTGATCCATTTCATCAGTCTCTTCTACTTCCTTCCTCTCAGGCAAGAGCTTTTCCAGCAAAGAGAGTTTATCAGGAGAGAGAAAGCCGTTTTCAGGAAAGTTTACCTACAAACAGAAATTTGTTAATTCTGATTTCGTTACTAGCGCCTCTGCAAGTTCCATGGAAGCAGTTCCCCACAAAAACACATGTACCCACACACAATGTGTAGGCGCGAGCACCAACCCCAGCTCAGAGCGTTTGCTCTGCAGGGCACAGTATCTCACACCATGAGGTAGCTTCGAAACAAACTGCTTCAGAGCTGGGTGTGGTGAAGATCTGTAATCCCAGCTATTTAGGAGGCTGAAGCGGGATGATCACAAGTTTGAGGCTGGCCTGAGCAACTCTCAGACACTGTCTCAAGACACAATAATTGGGGAAAAAAAAGGGGAAAAGAAAAAAAAGAAAAAAAGAGTCGGAGCTGGGGACACAGCACTCCCTAAGGTTTAATCCCCTGTAGTGCAAAAGCCAAAAACTAGATTGGAGCATTGTTCTACACATCAGGTAAGAGAACCCTTCCTAAAGTGGTCTCACTGTTGAAAACTTAAGGCCATTCTGACTAAAAATTGTCCTTTCCTTCCCGCGAAGACATTTTAATCAACACATCTGTGGGTGAAAGGCCAGTTTAAAATTGTGGGGAAAGTGCTCATGGATCATCCAAGCATTACAGCACTTCACTAAAAAAACCTACAAGTGTATTATAAAATGCTTCTGCTATATTTTTTTTCGTTTTGGAGATAGGGTCTTGCTTTGCTTTGCAGTGCAGACTGGCCTAGAACTCATGGCGCTACTCCTGCCTCCCAAGTGCTGGGATTACAGGCGTGTGTCACCATGCCCAGCAAGATGCTGCTAGTGTTAAAGGTTCCCTCCCAATAATGTTGGTCCTTCCATGTTAGTCAGGTGCTAACACTAAGCTACATTCCCAGCCCCAATTAGAGCCTCTCATTAGCGTACCTTCTTGCCATGCAGCCTTCTCCGTGTCTTTAAAATAGCCTACAATGATGTACATAATGATGCAGATAAGCCTACCCAATTATTAATAAGCAATGCCCAACACGACAGGAGTAGTATTGGAAATTAGTATTATTTCTCTTCTTTCTGGACGGTGTGGATAAAAACGAGGTTGGCTTGGCACTTAGAAAACACGATTTTGTATGACATTTTAGTAAGCGAACAATCCTCAAGTACCCTTGGGAACTTAACAGCTTACCTTAAATTCAATGATTAGACGACCCTTTTCGTATGGTCTACGATAAATTGGCATGCCTTCATTTAGCACACACTTGATGTCTCCATGCTTGACAATCTGACCTGAAAATATTGAAGCCAAGTTCTTAAGGTCACACTTTTCCAGGACAATGAAAACAACACAGGGAATGTCCTGAGTAACTGAGAGGATTAAATGTGGCAAAACAATCCTAGTACCGTCATTTATCAATTTTCTGGCAACTGCCAAAAAGAACTAAGACCGTATGACCTTATGTGAGCGTATGTCTGGGAAAGGATACGTAACGGACAAAAAGAGAAAGCTTTTCTCAGCGCCCCTGTTTAGTTACAAAGGAGGAAAACACCAGAACGGAGAAGCTCGTCTATACCATACCTGGGTGAGAGGTGATGACTATGGTTCGGTTGTCAAGAGTGGATATGGGCTTCTGGAAGCCACACAGTGCTTCAACCAGCTGTATATCCATACACATGAACAGGTCCTCTCCTCGCCTGTATCAACGCAAATATGGCGCATATTTACAACTTTAAAACTACCAATGACTCACAGTACCACAGCAGGTAACTGTTCTTTTCTTTAACAGCCAAGATGTCTTTCACAGACATCCTTCTCTTTCCCCATTTAAAACAATCAAATAGAGCCAAGAACTGAGAACAAACATTATTTGGAGCCTGCCAGTCCTGCTTCTTGGACAAGACTTAAGAATTCTCCCACACATTCTAGGCAACCTCTACTAATACCATTACGGAATTGTTTCATGACCTAATTTTACATCTGGCTGTCTTATTTTTTGGTGGCTTAAAGAAGAGAAACTTATTTTCTCACAACTCTTGTAATTTTAGAATTTTTTATTAGTACATGTTTAATTCTTTTTTTCGGTCTTTTTGAGATAGGGTCTCACTATGCAGTTCAGGCTGGCCTTGAGCTCACTTTGTAGGCCAGGCTGGCCTTGAACGTACAATGATCCTTCTGCCTCAATCTCCCGAGTGCTGGACTTACAGGGGTGCAGCACCACGCCTGTGATATATTCTGAATGCATTCACTGTGAGAAGTTGGCACACACAGATGCCACATCTTAATCCTTTTTACTTGGTCCATGTGGTGGTGTGTGCCTGTAATCCCAGCTGCTCGAAAGGCTAAGGTGGGGGGGATCTCAGGTTGAAGGCCAGCCTTTTAAAAGTGCTGGCGATGTACACCTGTAATCCCAGCACTCAGAGGCTGAGGCAGGAGAATTGTTGTGAGTTCGAGACCAGCCTGGGCTACAAAGTGAGCTCAAGGCCAGCCTGAACTGCATAGCAAGCCAAAAAAAAAAAAGTGCCGGGAATGTAGCTAAGTGGTAGAGCACTTGCCTTGCAGATGTGAGCACCTGGGTCAATCCCCACTACCATGGAGGGACGGGGACGTGGAAGCAGGTGCACATTTTCACAAAACTGATGGAAAACAGCAACACATATTAGGAATAGAGGCCATTAGTGGGTAAAGTGGAAGATCTGGGCTGGGTTCTCAATTATTTAGGCTGTCTAAATAACTGGGATATGACCAATTTTAAGGAATAGAAACAGTATTATGAAATATTTAACACAGTGCCTATGACACTATGAATGAACAGAGTTTTTTTTTTTTTGGTCTATTTGAGATAGGGTCTCACTACGCAGTTCAGGCTGGCCTTGAGCTCACAGCAATCCTTCTGCCTCAGCCTCCCTCGTGCTGGGTTTACATATGCAGTAGCCTACCTTCCCCTGCATGCCTTCATTTTTCCCAACCAATAATAAACATCTTGATTAGGGAAATCACCACCGTAGAAATACTCCTGAAACATGCATCTCAATGACAGCATTGTAATAGTGGTTCTCATTTTTAAAAGATCCATAAAATATCCCAATATAATCTTTTTTAACCCAGTTCTTTATAGTGTTTCCTCCAACCATACCTTAACCATAGACATATTTAACATATTCACTACTAATCAGCTTTCTTATACAGTGGACCTTTAGTTATGACTGGCCTGACATGTGAACATGGATTATGAGCATAATTTTAGTTTTAACTTACGACCAAAGTATCAAATTGTGATCTGAATGCTGGCTGCCTGTGCTTCCGAATGACCTCAGATACAGGTTTAACCTTTAAAGAATTCTGGAAGGAACATTACACATCCTTTCATTAGGGGGTTAACTGAGAAACCCCGGGCCAATGCTTCTCCAATGCACTGAGATCCTCTGTGTACAGGAGAGACTTTGTAGGCTGTGTAGAGGAGCCTGAGCCTTCACTCACAAGACAACGTGGGTTACAAACAACCCTGGGGAATGAACTGAGTTCGTAAATTAAGGGTCCACTGTTCATTGTAAATCTGCTGTTATATATTTACAACAGACGAATTTATATATAGCTTATATCAAGTCCCAATTTTAATTCTTACTTAGATGGTTCTGGGTACTTACACTTAAAGTAGCTCAATTCACTACAAACTCAGGACTAAAAATTGGTAAAAAATTGGTGATTTACTGTGAATCACCCACGAGAAAGTTAAGGGCAAAATTTTGTTGGGCACGTTTCCCCACAGCCACCTATTACCCCAGTTATGCGCACACGAAACATCTAATTGAAATACTCCTTTCAAGTACCAGATTAAGTAACAGGTTCACCCAGAGACAAAATGCAAAAACTGAACTGTTTGCAGCCTCTTTTCTGATTGAAACATATAGTTAACAAACTTTTACAAGATATACCTTACATAGCTAAATTTTCTTGCTGTGCTTTTCTAGGTATTTCCAGAAATTATGTTCTAATGATCAATGGAAATCTCATTTAAATCAGAACAAAACTACCAGGTATGCAAGAGGTCAATTTGAATGGTTAAGTCTTTACCGAGTAAACACAGCATGGTCCTTCTGATCCAACACAATGATAATGTCTCCTGGCTCCAGTCCTGGTTCTTGGTCTCCTTCACCGTGGAATGTTATCTTCTGGCCATCTTTCATGCCTAAAAAAAGATGAATTTTCTATTCTCACTGAACATCCAATAGTGAAGTCAGAATCACAAAATTTACTGCTGGGGACACGACACAGTGGCTCTGAGCAGGACTTAATATTAACCATTTGGCTTTCCGTGTTGACCTGTGAGCTGTCTGAAGCTTAGGCACCTTGTCGGACAAGACAAGGCGGCGGCTGAGAACGTTTCCCTCCAACCCCAATTAACTACAAGGAGACTGCAGCTGCAGTCCCCGCGCTCCTACAATAAATACCAACCTAAAGATAAGAATGACATAATTTACTACTTGGGAAAATTATCCCAAGGTCCTGCAAGAGTCCCACGTTTTCTTGAGTATCCTCTTCCTCTGTTTGAAAACCAAATAAATACAGGCTGCCCAGAGCAGTCTTTGGCTAACTCAGAGAATAACGAACCTGTAAGTTAGTCCCTCCTGGAGCCCTAAAATCATTGCCACTGTCTCCTTTATTTAAGCCTTCGCCGTCCACTTGCTTGGGAGACTGCAGGCCTGATCAACCTATAGTAACTTAGGGTTATTTAACCCAGTTTTCTTTTTTTTTGGTGGTACCTTGGATTGAACTCACGACCTTGTGCTTGTCAAGCAGGCGCTTATGCCACTGAGCTATACCCCCAGCCCCAGTTTTCGATAACCTACAATACCTAGATGTGTGTTTCAGCACGCAAAACAAAATGTTGCTGTCTTTGGAGATGCTAAAAACCACAAAAATTACTAAGAAAAGTCCACTTAATTCAGTCCAGTTTGCTACTGAAGAAAGCTATCTCACAAGAGAACACAAATTCTAGAAGGGGACAAAGCTTCAAATCTCAGAGCTGGCTGGATTATTCTGGGGAGGAGGATGCACAGTCTTCCCGAGTCTCAACTTCCCCACAGAGACCGACCTCATTAGAGTTGCTGAGAGGATTAAATAAAAATGTCTACATGGGGACCAAATCCAGTTACTGTATACATAATAAATGTTAACAAACTGAATTGTATTAGTTAAGAATCTATATACCACATTTCATTAAGCCTAGTGTACATCAACTTTCTTCCCTATTGTGCTAGTAGTATGACAGGCAATCTGTGTAAACAAAAACTTTAAAAATACATCTTTGCAAGAAATGGAGGGGTAAGGGGAAGGTGGCAGAGTTATGATGTGTTATGTAGCATCCCCCACAATGAATGCTATCATTATGTACTGCAAAAATGTACTACTTAGACTAAATAGTGAAAAGGCACCCCTGCCCTGCCACGTGAACTCCTATCTAGTTTTAGGGGTGCAGCTCTGTGGGATAGCGCTTGACCAGCATGTGCAAGAGCCTGGGACCACTTCCTCAAGCACTGCAAAGCAAGCAAGCAAGGAAACAAAAAAATCAACCAAAATAAAACTATTGTGAAGTAGAAGGTATACTGCTGGACATTCCCTTAGCTCATGCAGTCAATGCTGAAAACACAGGGAGAAGTGTTTTTTCTTTTGCTTTGTTTGAACAGGGTCTCATTATGTCTTTTAGGCTGGTCTTAAACTTAGTATGTAGCCCAGATTGGCTTCAAACTTGCAGTGACCCTCCTGCCTCAGCCTCCTGAGTGCTGGAATTACAGGCATCTGACACCCCACTTGGCAGTGGGGTGTTTTCCAAAAAG